TCAAGAAGACATGCTTACATGGTAGGAAATATCGTATATTTTGTTAATATCTATATTTCATAAAATTAGAACGATATGCTTATTGTACTGGTTTACAGATTTGAGTAAATTAAGAGATCTACAGTGAATTGTTTGCTAATTTTTAACGAATCAGTATTCCAAGGGGTTTTTGTGGATATTATAGTAATTTCAATGGTTGAGATCATAAGTTGATTGAAAATAAACCACCATCGAAAACTTGGAAACACTAGAAGACCGTTTCGTCCCATTGTGGGACTCCTCAACACTGTGCTTCTACGACACGACCTCGCGAGATTCGAATCAGTATTCGTCAACAGACTATATAACACGTAAAATATTTGGCTTTAATTGATGAATTAAAGTAGTATAACCATCAAGTGAAGTATTATTGCTTAATCTATCATAGTCACAATTCATACTTAGATTAATGAATGACTGATATAAATTTCCGAGTTATTTTCTTATCTTGTTATCAATATAAGATTCCTTGTCTAGTTAAATCTGAGCTCACCGTTCAACTATAGTGTTCCTTTAAAAGAAGGTATAATAGTTGTGACCATTATCCTATTTCAACACTTATACAATAACATATTGTTTGTTGAATTTCAAGGTTATGAGAAATACCGATAAGATTTCAATTTTTAATCACTGTGACAATTCAACAACATTTTATTTATTCCAACAATAGAAGCATTGGTTTCGGTCATCAGGAAAGAACTCCCAAACTCAACAGGAATACCTCTTATCCTTGTCTTTACTCTAACATTGAACTGTTAGTATTATTATTATTATCACTAATAAGTTGGTTGCATAAACTGTTGTATGTACATTATGCTTTACAACCCCATGAATTTTTTTCACTCACTTCAGTAACATGTTGATTTAGTGCAACAAAAAAAAATTTTATATTCATTCATATCAATCTATGAAATTTGTAAAATCTCCACAAAACCCTTGTGATAATAATCATCTACTCACTAGTGACTGACTTCAAGAGATACTCCTGGAGTTCTAGTGAGAGCCGTTACCAGTGGAGTTCAACCAGGTCTGTTGTGAGATATCGACTCACTGAAGATAGTGGTGTACGGTGGTGCAACTTCGTGAGTTGGTTGAAGTTAGACATTAACACCGTTGGATGCTGGCCAACTCAGTGGTCTAGTTGGTTAAGCGCTTGGCGCGAGACTGATAGGTCCTGGGATCGAATCTCGCGGGGTGCGAGATCGTGGATGCGCACTGCTGAGGAGTCCCATACTAGGATGAAACGGCTGTCCAGTGCTTCCATGTTTTCCATGGTTGTCTAGCTTCAATTGACTCGTGATTTCAATCACTGATATTTCTAAAATCTCCACAAAACCCCTTCTGATAATTCATATCCCTTGTAGATTATCAAATACTATCAGATTATTACATCTACTAGAAACTAGACAACATTGTTTTTGTTATTACTTAGCACAATGATCTATTTTTTATGATAGTATCATGTTTAGTCGATATTTATATTCCTATCCTTCCCCCTCCCTTCAGGAATGTCTTAAAATTTCGCAATTACATATATACATTTTGAGATGGTGAAGATTTCTAGCTCAGATGGATGATTTTGATGGATTTTTGTTCTCTGAGCTGGATGGTTTAGTCGTGGAGCTTTGACCGTTCTTCTGAACGACATCATCAGCATAAATTTCAGATAGAAGATAGACCAAACCATCCAACTCAGAGAACAAAACTCCATCAACATATATACATATCTACACTGAAAATAGTTTTTCTTTTGCTTAGTTTCGTGCCTTTTTAAAAAAAATGTTCCGATGAGGATTAGAACATTAGAGAAAATAGTATTTGTCCCTCTTTTTAATTATATAAATAAGTAGTTTATTAACTATGTTCATTTATTAAATGACCGGTTAATAATAGTTGTAATAAGAGTAATAATAACTATATAGAAAACGATAATTAGTGTAATTATCGTGACAATTCAACATTATATCATCAGCTGACATAATGATAAAAACTAGCTTATGAAGAAATCAGCTATTTATCTATCTATATAGAAATAGTGAATATTTCTATTCCTTCTCATAAAAACAATTTATGTAAGATTAGAATAAATGTAATATGAAATGTTTTTACAGGTTGTAAATTCACTTGATATTGTTTGCTTGTATATTTCGACTGATGTTTAAGACTACAATTGATCCTTCTCTTATTGACATATGTGTATCCTGTGCAGATCAACTCGATAGTACCTTAAAATACAAGCTTTATAAACAAAGATGAATAATGACTAGCAGTGAAATCAAGGACACATGTTTCGTCCTATTTTGGACTCATCAACTAAACGTACCTGTATATCAGAGTTGATATTCAATCCAAGACTTAAACACAGTACCGTTCGCTTCAAACGTCTACACATAATCCACTTAATTACTGAGTCCTAATAGCTACCTATTTCTCTAATAATAAGTTGTTCTATTTATTAATTTAATTTCCATACTTAACACTTCACTTTTGTTTGATTGATTTCATAGAATATAATTAAAACTTGTGTTTTTTCTCATTCAAATATCATTTCACGTATTCACAATATTCACTCAAAATCCTAATCCAATTCAATATGACATTTTTACACTTCATATGACGTTTCACTTGATAAGTTTTCTAAATCAGTTATTAAACACGTTGAAATTCATAAAAAAACTCTTAAATGAACGGAGAAAGATTTTACTCATTTTCGACTTAGTAATTCTTACGTAATTGTTTATCAAACGATACTGTGAAATATCGAAATTCACTATGATAAAAAAAACATTACATTTTTTAGAAAAAAACTCAGTTATATATTATTAAAGTGATATCAATCACGGGTTCGAGTCCCGGAGTGAACATCAACACTGGGATGCAAGTACATCCAGCTGACGAGTCCAAAATAGGACGAAACGCGCGTCCTGGATTCCACTGCTAACCACTATCCATCTTTACTCAATATATACATGTTTCAGAAACTAAAAAGAAATTAAAAAACCCATCTAGTAGAATTGTGATGTGTGCTACTGATGTGAATACATATCAGTAGTATATATCATCAATAGAAAGTGAAATATTTGGAAGCAGAAGGTTAAGATGATCGAAGAGAAAAGAACGAGAACAGAGAATAATTGGTGTGGAAATGAAGGAACGATGAAGTCTGAGATGATTGATTGTCATTTTGCAAATGAAGTATTTACTGTATGGTCCTGAGATTTTACTAGGATGTTCTGTAATTTTGTATTCAGATACATTTGATTATCCCCAATTCTGTTCTTGTTCACTACATAATTATTTCCGAAGACAAACTAATCGCTGTGGTGAATAACACGTTTATACACGTAGACACAGTCATACTTTATTCAATATATACACAAACTTCAGTTAGAAATATTGTATGTATTAAATCTATATGCCTTATCTCGGTTTTCGTTACAGCCTAGTGCAGAAAGAACCTTATATCTTGTCACATTTGAGTCATAATTTTTGTTCATAACAATCAAATGAAATTCACAATTTTACATCATGAATTGACTTGAGGTAAACAATCTTTGAAATACAATGAGTAACAATCTGTTGTTTCTTCCTACATGGGAAATATCAAATCTTTCTTAAACAGTCTATATTACGGTTTCGCTGCTCTATGTACTCTACTGAACTCCACCGGCTAGACTAATTTCATTTATTAACTAATCAAATTCAGTGTTTTGGCACCAACTACAAATTTCAAAAATATTTATTTGCCTTTTATTCTAACGCATATAGTTTATTTTTTAATAGTTAAGATCATGACCGATTTAGTCTATCATCTCTGATCAGTCAATTATTATAAAGCATAAACTGCTTGAATGTCTAAGCTACCTGTTCCTGCAAGCCGGATATTTCGGCAAGTTATCCATTTTCTTGTTTGTTTTAATACATCATTATGCCTATTAGTCTCATAACCTATTCAGTTGCATTTATGAAAAGTTTACGACATTTCTTTGTACAACCACAGACATCATGATGGCTGGTAATATGCATCAAAAAGAATAGATATTATACAGATATCCATTCCCGAACTGCTAATATCTAACTGGCAACCACTCAATATTTATCACCAGGATCGATCAAGAAATACGAAAAGGAAACTTGTTGAAATACCTTGTGCTGAGAATTCTATATTCTACCAAAAATGTAATCTTGAATAAAGCAATTAGTAATAATAATTTAACGAATTCAACTTGTCCTAGCTTGACTGCAGCCTAAACATTAAATTATGTGAGTATGTTCGACTCTAAAGTCAACAAGTTTTGTATCCATAAGTTGCATTCAAAACAGTTTTCATTGTGAATCAACGTTAGCAAAAAGTAATTGGTGGAAGTATGATCATTTCAATAAAGTTCAATAGTGACTAGCGAGAAAATCAAATACACTTGTTAAATCATATTTGGGACTCGTCGGTCATACCCATCTGTATCTCACTGAATTTTGAACACAGTATCTATCATTTCTGATGTCAACCCACTTTTCACTAAGCTATTAAATCCATAGATCAAAAAACTTGTACAACTCATATGAAGTTATTTGTAATTGTTTGTATATTCTCATTATTGATCTAAAGAATCTCAAGTAATCAAATTCTCTTCACATTTAAGTTATTTTATGGTGAATTTGATTCATGTCTAACAGAGGTAGCTGTAGGAACTGATCAATTTCAGTCCATAATATTAGTAACAAGAAAATAGAACTCTCATGTTTAATAAAAAAATATACAGTTTCATATTAAGTTAATGTATAATATAAATAACCTAGAACAATTGGATAGAACTAGAAAGAAAGATCCAAGACAGAAAGAGCTGAAGAATCCTGGTTGACGGCCTATGCTCCATTGAGAGTAACAGGTGTAAGTAAGTATAAAAAACCAGTAATGTAGTAAAAAAAATAATAAAATGCCACAATTAACTGTTTATACTTACTTCATAAATTGTTGAATTGACTGGAATATTTTCTTTTACTTGTATTTCATAAACTGCTTGTGAAAATGTTGGTTCAATATCATTTATATTAAGCACTTCTATAAAGATTTCTAAACGATCTTCTATATTCATTATATCTAAATGTTGATCACCTATCATATATGGTGATGAACAAACTAAATAAAATTTATATTCTTTAACATATTCATAATCTAAATCTTTTTGTAAAACAAGTACAAGTCTTGAATCATTACGTACAACTAAACGAAATGTTTCTAATGCATTTGATTTATCATTTGGATGTGAATCAAGACGATATACTATTTCAGCATGATGTGGTTGTATATCTTTATCAATTGCTTTAGGTAATTCTACATATTTACCAATACGATAAATTACTTCTTTTAATTTTAATTGATAAGGTCTTGATACAGTAGATGGAAATTTTGGTTGATTATCATCTATATCAGTGACTGTTATTTCAATATTTACAATACAAATTAATTGATAATTTGTCCATATATTCACATATATATTTAATTGTGCATAATATGTATTCTCTTTACAATATCTTGGGCATAATATTTCTAAATCAATTATTCTCTTAGTAGTTAATAGACTTGTTGTTTCATTTATATGAAAATAATTTGATGGTTCACGTAAACGATAAAATGAATTAATTTGTTTCGATGTTTGTAATAAATTATATAAATGAGTTGATCTAATCTCTGGTGTTTGTATTAGATCATCATTAATTTTACCAATTTTAAAATTGATCGGTTGATTTTCTGTAATAGCATAATGTAAATTATATTGTGGTGTTTTTGGACTATTATTAACATCATTATTATTGTGACTAGTAATACTATTCAATGTATTAGAATCATGACTATTAATACTACTCATTAAATTATTAGTAGGTAATAGTGATGAATAAGCGTTTATTGAACAATCATGATAGAACATTGAAATTTGTAATAATATAGAATCATAATAAACCATATTAGTGTATTAACAATCCATTTAGAGTTTAAATGTTCCTGTGACATTCTTCTGATCTGATGAAATGAGAAAAAAGAAAATAGAGTGAAAATAAAATGAAATAAATACTTGAAAGTTCATAGTATTAAAAATAATAGTAATAATAAAAATGACAGCTTCATTAATTACATAACTACTCACATTCTCAGTTAATCAGTCAGCTACAACGTAGGACTAGGCACATATATTCATCGGTCCAAGTCGTCATACCTCATTAGCACAACAACATGAACACTGAATTCATACAAGTAGTCAATCCAATGATGGTAATATATAAAAGAAAGATTCACGAATAAAACAATGAGAATATAAGACATAAGTAAAGGGGGGAATGCAGTAATAATAATAATAATAACGATAGTAGGAGAATCAAAATAATTAAGGCCAAGGTAACGATAACGATAAGACGTACTTCTTTTGTACGCTCCTGGATGGTAAGAGCTTAGGCTATTTTTAAAAGTTGGATGCGAAGAAATCTGGGTAGATTTGAACGACTCATATAAACAACCTTAAATTCATTTTTGGATCTGTACAGTGGTTACAGGTGTTCAAGTATAGAACTCCTAACTGCTTTCCTTTTTCCCCTTATAGAACCAAGCAGGAATATGTTCCCGTATCCGAGTTGAAAGCGAGCGCTGGCTACGGCCAATGTACCTTGCTCCACAAGAGCAGGTGAACTGGTAGATGCACATGGAGGCGACCAGACGCGGAAGCTTGTCTTTTATGGACACAAAAATTAAGTTCCTACTCGTGAAGGTTATTCGCAACTTAGCTGCATTAAATGTTCTTCTAATAGTTGTTGTTAGACGACTTTTGATTACTTCTCATGTTCGATCACCTTTAAATTCCAGACTTATATAAAGGTTTTTCTTCGTAATTATTATATCAAAAAGAAAGATTGCATACAAGGACAGAAAGAAAGAATTAATCGTAGAAAGAAAGGTAGAAAGCGATTTTAATCTCATGGTTTAAGGGAAGACAGAGAGTGTATCTTCCTAATCCATTGTGATCGGTTCTGAATCATGTCACACAGAGTCTCCAACCGTTGGTGACGATAGTCAAATGAATCCCAACTAAGTATTCTGCATCTATCAACATAGCTCAGACCAGAGGTTTGTGATTTCAAGGTCCGATGCCATGTCTTGTTTTGGCCGTCCCTAACTTTCTTCCAACCATCTCCAACACTGGTCACCATTCTGCTTCGTGGCAATTGGTGTTTATCCAAACGTTCACATTGTAAACAAAAATGATCTTGATCTCAGTGTAAAAACACAATGTGAAAGAATTTTGTTTTATGACCTGTATTTTTTTAAAAATTTCTTTCAAATATTTCATTTAATTGAAGATAAAAACCAATAACGGATTAAAAAGACTTAATTTCCAACTAAGAAATCGGTTATGACATTGCTGATATTCGTTAATTTAATGTTTACCCTTTTCTATGCGAGACAAACTTAAAGATCTCTGTGTAAAAAACTAAACGTTTGAAAGAGTTTTTTTACCAAATTTCATTGTCTGATCAGCATCAATGCTTTAATGGTGTTATTCTATTCTCTGAAATGAATGATGAATATCGTTTATAAATCATAATGAAATAATTTCAGTTTGAATTATCCATTTTACAAAATTATTTATTTATTTAAACATATAAAAATTTGGTACAAGAAGGCACCAATTGTATACTATCTGAGTGCCAAAACTCAAGAAAGTTGTGTTTCTTAGAGGGCCACGACCCGAACTTTTGACCTAAAAGTCTAATCCACAACTTAGTAGAGCAACGTCAGGAGATGTAGTGTTGTCGAAGCCGGTGACCAATAATTGGTTCATACGTCAATTGATCCATTAGGGTCCTGGATTCTATGTACACCAGTGGTTTGGAATCAGCGTTTTCCAATTTCCATAAATGGATCCTCCATATCCACAAACCTGGTTAAAGTGTCGGACATTCGCTTTTCATCCTCGCAATTTTGTAAACCACAGTAATGCCGCTAGAAGGTAGTGAATAGAAATTCCCTGGCAGTGACTGTATACATGTGACCATGTGAGAGCATTTCGAGAGAGAGAGAGAGAGAGAGAGAGAAACAGATAGACAGAGAATGCACTCTCTCCACCCTTCGGCCATATCAGGACATTTGTGGACAGTTTAAAAAAATCTATTACCACTAAATATATTCATTTAAATAAAGAATTTCTTCTATGATTTGAATGTCATTATTCAATTTCAACTTAGAATCTTACCATATCTATGTCTTTAATTTGATCATTTTACACTTAGCAACTTAAAGTTTCTTAGTGTACTTCATATTGTTCTATTAAAACTGATCATTTTGAAATAAAAAGAAAAATAGATAAACAAAAATTCATTTAAATGTATGGTCCTTTTTTATTAATTAAAAAACAACAGTAATAATTTATAATTACGATTATTAATAATAAATGATGCACATTGTCGGTATCTAAGACCAGTAAAAGAATAAAATTATAAAAAAAAACGGATTCTAATTAAGTTCATGATTTGTTGTTTATGCATGATCAAAGGGAATATCATATTGGTTACAAATTATTTTGTATTCGTTTCATTTATATGCGCAATACTTTAATTATACTAATCTGTATTATTGTTATTATTTATTTATTATTATCATTACTAGTAATAGTGAATTTAAACTTCATTCACTTGCACAAGCAGGTGACTATTATGACTCAATAATTAAATGGATAACGTGTAAACGTTTGAAGTGAACGGTACTAAGTTCGAGTCCCAGAATGAGCATCAGTACTGAGATGCAGGGACATTCAGTTGACGAGTCCTAAATAGAACGAAACGCGCGTTCTCGATTCCACTACTGGCCATTATTTATCTTTGTTTAAAAAGCTTATGACTTAGACTATATTGAGGCAATTCGCACAGGATACACATATGCCAACATGAGACTGATCAATTACAGCATTAGTTTAATCAATATAGATATTTTTCATTGTTCCTTAAACATTAAACTTAGATAAATATCCTACTGGATTTAAATAAACATTAAATAATCTTCACAAATATCCCATACTAACAGTAATCATATGCTTAGTAGTAGTAAACAAATCCCGTCCATCTACTGAGAAGCTGCAACTAATGAACAATTATACCAAGTTTAAGACATTGACGATTGATGAGGCTCTTCCAACAGTAAAAATGACTGAAATGAGAAACGTGAATAATTGGACCACAAGTTAATGATTTTATAGTCACATACTAGCCACAAGACTTCAAGGTTATGGATTCGAAACTTTTTGGGATCATGAGTGTGTAATGATGGGGCACTGTAAACAAAGAAGTAATATTCGTATTTACTTCATTTTGGTTTTCAATGATTATGCGACCTAATTTGAGTTTATAATTTAAACTACAAGTGGATCTTGCAGTAGAGAAAATGTGTGACAAAAACACTACAACTTTAACTTACAATCTGACTTGCTGGTAAGCCTGTAATGAACGAGAGCACAAGTGGGGACAATCAAATGTATTTCAATACAAAATTACAGGATATATTACAACTACATTGGGAATAAAACAACTGTTACTCATTGACGATATTGGGTAAGTTTTTAGTATACTTCAAGTCAGCTGGATATGGAAATACGGATCTGTGCATCGTTAGAAATATGAGGACCTTAAATTGGATTACTAGAGGGGTTATGAGTATACATGGCTTACAGTTTCTATATCAAAAAGAAGCAGCTTTCCATTTCACTTTGAATTTCAATCTTCAGTTGATATCAACTGATGACGAAACGTTACGCTTAACTTTCATCAATTACTATAAGCCCACAGGATAGTTTAGTATCAGCTTCTCAAACTATGAAAATGAATGAAAAGATTGAATGTGGCTAAGGGGGAGATCTACGACCCGAATTTCATCCTGCTTATGATCTGTTGGTTTGATCTACCTGTGTTCAAGTGTTGAAATTCACATCGGAACTTCAACCCATTGACTTTCAAGTCAAACCCCCTTCTTGTTAACTACAGAGTTACCAAGTTCCGATTGCCACACAAATTTGCAGTCGATATTAATTTATGTCATACGATAGGTTCAAATTATCTCATTGCATCCAGTTAACTGGCTCCAAATAGAAAAAAAGTGTATTGTGGATACTAATACTAGTTACATTTCACCTATTCTACAAGACTCATGATCATATGGAGGTGATTCTTACATATCCAAACCAAGACTGATCAATATTTAGTCAACAAAAGGATTATTCAAAACTAACGTAATAATGAAATATAAGTGAAAAGTGTTCAAGTCTACCGTAGAAAACCATTTCCCTCAAAATTATAAGTAAATCTCCATGATGAAAGCTAACAAGGATGAAACTGAAGTTCAGGATTTCCTGTCTAGTAAGTAAAACATCTCAAAATATGAATATATTTCATTGATTTCATCAATCTATTATAAAAGCAATGTAATGAGGATGAAATTTTTGACAGTCTATAAATATGAATAACACAGATTATTATGACAATTACAATATGATTGTTCTTACATTATGCGGAATTATCTAAGACATCTTAATCTTGGATAAATACAGAAATAATATACTATCAATGAACTATTCAAATCTTCGAATCTTTCTTCGTTCACCTCCCCAATAAACGGTGTTAGCACATGAGAGAAATAAGTACTTAAGCAACATTATTAAGTGTATATAATAATGAAGGCTACCTTCCTAACTATAAACTCCTTGGTTCAATGTCACCAAAGATTAGTACTAGACTGAAAATACTAGCTCGTTTCATTGTAATTAAAGAATTATCGAAAATGAATTAAGACTGTCAGATGATTTGTGGTGTGTGCTATTTATATTGACATAAGTAGTATATGATGTTAGTCGTAAACTGAAGGTCTAGCAGCAGAGAGACAAGAGGATCGAATAGTAAAGAATGGAAACATGATGCAACTTGTATGAAGATGCAAGAACGATGAAGTCTGAGCTATTTGGAGACAATTGATGGACATTTTGTAAA